TTGGGAGATTACAAGAACAAGATAATTACAATTCTAGAAATGAAGGTGACAATTTTCATTTTAGAACCAGTAGGCCTATAACAACAGCAACAAAAATTTGGAGTATTACGTAAATCAAAACAGTAATCCTACAAAAGAAAGAAATACTAATGACTCTTGGGAGATTACAAACACAAGATATATACAATTCTAGAAATAAAGGTGACAATTTTCATTTTAGAACCAGTATGACAACAATAAAAAACATTACAGTTGTACGCTGTTTTTGAATTTATACAAAATGTTTCCCCTCTTTGCTACAACTGATGGGCTTAGCAGAACTCCAACAATTTGATCATAACAAACATATGATACGTCTTTTTCGTCCATTACGTACACTGACTTTTCTCTCGATAAGTTTTTCATGAATATCACTTTCAGTTCATCCTCATTGTCAACTTCTGTTTGCACAACCGCAACAAAATTAATCGGTTTTTTCTTTTTCTTTTGACTTCCCACAGAAACAACGACAAAACAGCCTTTTACCAATGAGGACTCATTGAGCACAGGTACACATTTAACCATGTCCTCTTCGTCTGAACAAGAAAAAACCTCTTCAACTGTTAATTTCTTCTTTGACGTAGAAGAGGAAGCCAAGCTCTTCTCTTTCTTCACCTCTGGTAACCACTCCTCCTCTGAAGAAACGTCTTCCAATTTTTAGGTTTTTGGTGTGGAAGTACGTGAAGCAGAAGCAGTTCTTTTCTTGGAAGTAGAAGACTTTGTCACATTGTCTCGAATTTCCATTAAGTGATAGTGCTTGCACGGCTTTGATGTGTCTAAGCACTGGAAGCAAGACAGTTTTGATCCGAACATAAATCCCCTGCTGTTCCAGCTTACTTGTCTCACTCCCATGATACCTTTTAGGGCAATAAGATTAGTGGGAAGTAGGCTTTTCATCTCCACGAACTTGCCATTTGACACGTCGGCGAGCATTACAGAGCTATTCCTACTTAATAAAAAAAAGTGTCCCGGTTCAGAAAAGTTCCAGGTGAAAACCTTTAAGTTTTTAAAAAACTTAGGTAACATTTCTTTCATGAAATACAGGTTGCCCTTATTCCTGTATTGTGACGATGGACCATCGGAAAATATGTGGACGGTGTGGGTTAAGGGGAGCCTTTCAGCTGCATCCTACAGCACTGGTCGCATGTGGGCCCAAACCGCGTGACATTGGTGTTCCAAATTATCAGCAACCGTACAAAAGGACTTACAGACTACTTCTCCTTGAGAAATGTAGTGCATTACACCGGTATGTAATGGCACTTGTTTTTTTGAAGCACCAAAATGCATAGATTGGACTTCGGTTCCCAATTTACAAATGTAGTTTTGGGAGAAATCTATTTGTAGCAAAAGCTCTCCCTCTTTAAGGTTTTCTCTAACCTTTTTCAGTTTGTTGGCCTGGTGAAGCGCTGAAAACATGTTTTTTTTTTATATTTGGGCAGTGTTTTCTGAAACATGTCAATGAGTTCTGAAACTGGAGCCACTATTTCCTCCTTAACAGTTCTTTTAATATTCTTCTTTGTCCCCTTAATGTTCCTTTCTTCTTGAATATTTTTCCACATGGAGTACTTGCTTCGCTGTCATTTACATTAAATTCAATGTCATTGTTTTTGCATTCTTTGCATTGATTTAACATGCATTTCTCATTCCTTGAGGAACAAACAAGGGATTTAAGTACATCACGACCACTCTTTTAACTTTGATAACATTTGCTGAACTTAATGAAGAAACCAGGAATTCAAAATTTTCATGGATGACGCAGGCACATGTTTCTCTGCCTCTAGCTTTGGGGCGAGTCACCCAAAACGGTCGAGATCTTACAAACGTAGTATATACTATCTTAATGTTTGGATTTTCTTTACAGAATTTTGTATACAAGTTCTTCATGTTGTCTAGCAAAATACGGCGTTGTTTTTTGTTTTTCCCATTTCGGACGAAGTCTTTTTTACCGGGGCACATCTTTGAAACTAGGTCATCTTCAAAAAATCGCCTTAACGTCAATGCCTCTTTAACTCGTACAGTCTCATGCTGCTTTCTTGTGTAAGTTATATCAACTGTTTGACCATCAACCTCTTTCTTTGCTCTTTGATTGTGTTTATAAGAAACAATGTTTTTCAAATATGTCTGGACTCTATACCGTTTCAAGATTTTTGTGCCTATTACTTTAGTCATAATCTGTCTTTCTTTCGCTCTAGGATTGACCCCTGCTATCTGGGTTTTCAGTTGCTTTTGCAATGTGAATCCAACATAAAGTTGTTTTTTAACTTTAGGTGAAACATGTTCGGTTCCAATCAATTCTTTAACTTTCTTGTTCGGAGATGGCGAACCCGTTGGATTGGTTTTATTTTTGATCTCTTTGCAGTAGTTTTTTGTATTTTTCTACTTTCTGTTTCAATTTTTTAATTTCATCTGCCTGCTTGTTTATTGTCCTATATGCCTTAGCTCTATCTCAGCGAACCTGTTTTCGCCCTTTTTCTTTCTGTCTTGAAACTACTATTTCGGGATTCTCTTCCTCATTCCCAGAAGATGGAGGGGTTTGATTTAAGACATTTTTCAAAGCTCTTTGTTTCTTCCTGTACGTCGTACAATACTTTCGCCATTGCTTTCTTATTTTCTTTTGCTCAGACGGCTTCATTTCTTTTATCGGTTTAATTTCCTTTTCTTCTCTCAACCGTTTGAGTCTATCTCTGTCTCTTTTCTCTTCTTTTCTAGCTGCTCTTCGGTCATTTTTGCCTTGAACCGACGCTGTCTCTCTGCTGCTGATTTCTTTTGTCGCTCATATTTTTCTGAGTTCTGAATATGTTTATTGTTCACCTTCTTCCCCATTGCTGCAAACTTTACCAGCAAGTCTGAAAACCAGATACAAAATCACAGTACTCACTTGTTTAAACTTACCTAATATCATTCCAGCATTAATAAAAAATTGGGAAATACGGTGAAAACAATACAAATCATTTTGAAATATTTAACCATCCAACCAGTATTATTACATTAATTTGTTTTTAAATAATTCACAGATTAGAAAAGTGTACTTGCTTTGTTATGTTAGCATGATAAAGTTAACTAAAAACGGCATGAACCACAACTGTGACACCATAATTGGTACCAACAATGAAGAGACGCTAAATTTCATAATCAGTTGGAAAAAAATTGCAAAAAACACCGAAAGACTACTTTTGATACTTTGATAGACTTCGAATTCCATGTAAAATAATATGGTACAAAATCCGAAATATTTTAAAATAACAATGTATCGCTACATGAAGAAAAGGGTCGCGATCACGTCCTTAGGTGCATGATAGCATAATACGATCATGATATAAACCAATTGAAGGGATAAAAATAAACTTGACAAATATTTAGGCTAAGAGAGATTTAATGTAAACATTGTGCAATACTGTCAAAACCAAAACGTAAACTTACTAAAACATAACGTCATTCTTGTAACAATTATACAGCTCGTTAACAATAGTAGACAGATTGCTATCATCAGCAGACAGATCGCTAACGTTAGCGACAGTTAAACAGATCGAAAACGTTAGCGAGCTGTTCGTTAGCGATCTGTGAAATTTAGTTGTTCTAGTAACTAGGGCCTTAATAGAGCATTGTGGCGGGAAAACAAACTTTGAGGTTATGTTGCTCACTACGTATTCTTACATTACGGCGTTTTTGTTAATGTTCATCTGAAAAGTTAAAAGCTATGCACGTTAGCGATCTGTTGCTTAATTAACATACTGAGTAGAACTTACCTTGATTTTTGATAATGAACAGGTAAACACGAAGATTAACTACAAGAATAGTATACAATTTCACTTCACTAAACAAACTGCAATCACTGGTGAAGAGCGGGCTTCTCGTGAGACGCCGAGTGAGTAATGGCGACAAGTTTAAAAAGTGCGGGAAATTCAAATCGAGATAGCGGGACATTCAAATGAAATAAAAAAATGCTGTTTCATATTTTCGTTTGCTTTAAATAACCTCATGAATTAAAAGATCCATATTCAACTGTTATTTTAAAGTTGTTATTACATTTTATTTTTGTATTTTTTATATATATAGGCCTATTTGCGATCTTCAATCAGCCATGCTGCACTTCGGAACCGTTAGCGATCTGTTTAAAACACTCTTTGGAAATATTTTTCATATTATTAAAATCATTATTGTTTATATTTTATGCATTTATGTGGTAACTGTTAATATAAACTATGTACGACAAATTTAATTTTTATTTTATAAAATCAAAAATGGTTGAAAAATTTGTTGGACTAAATTTTTCCCACAATTTGAAATTCATCCTTAAATAAGTAACTTATCTCAAGTTTTTGATGTTAGTTTAAGAATTAACCATTCAGTTTCATAAATCCCTACTTGTTTATATAGGAAATTATTGCATGGAATGACAACTCATAGATTAATTTGTATGAGTTTACTTAGATAACATAATTTTAAGGTTCTTTAACTGTCAATAAGTATGTGTTAAAACAATCAAAATTTAAAAAAATGTCATAAATGAATTTTTTTTTGGGAAACAGCCCTGGGCCAAAGAAATATTCCGCCAAAAAGTTAATTCCCATTTTATAAGGTCCCTCCCACTGGGAATATTCCCGGCCCACATTACTAGTTCAGAAGATATGTTGAGACTGATGCAGAGGATATTCCCATGATGAAGCATCCTTGCTAGGTCTGTGATAGAGATATCCAATTGCATAATGTCTCCTTCCGAATAGATCTTGGGATCTAGTTTTGAGATGGAACCTGAATATCCACTTCTGGCAGCAAAGCAGAAGCAGGGCAGTCAATTGACCCATTTAGTGGTTAAGAAAGGAAAATACATCACATGCACAAGGTCTCATTACAATGTACATGCAAATAAAACTTGGACCTGTAGATGTAGATAGATGTACTAGATTTAGTAGGGTATTGAATGAGCATGCATACATTTTAGCTCCAGAATTTTGTCACAGGCTTCTCAAGCTTTTTTTGAAGATTCACTTTCCGCTACAGACCTCTGCAAAGCTTGTTTGAAGAGAGCAGACTTTGTGAGACCACTCAATCCATTTGTAAATGTAACCAAAGAGAAATCCTTGCGTCAGTCTGAAGAAAGCTCTCGGAGGCACAAGAAGGGTAAGTAGGTGATATGTAGTCAGGATTATTTATAAGTCTACTACTTTCCTATGTATGTAAGTATCAAGCTTAAAGTGAGCCATTCTGAAATTGGTCCCTCAATAGGCTACAATGTTTTCTACCCAAAAAACAAATTTATACAAACTTGATATTTTTTTATAAATGAATCAAGTGTCTTTTTTGAGATCCCAATGTCAGGCTATTTTAAAAAAATATTTGTATGTTTAAGAGATAAAATATGAAAGAAAAGTACCGGTACCCAAAATGTAACCACCATGGAATGTCCCCCACTCAAATTTTTTACAACACTGACAAGGGATTAATGAAACAAATCATTGAATTATATAGCCTAATAAATTAAATTCTTCATAAAAGTAATAAAATAGGTACATAGACTTAACACCATCTTAACAATAAAAAAAATCTAAATAGCTTAAATTAAACACAAAAGTTGTCCACGGAGTTGAATGTAACCTCCATAGACTATATATAGAAGTTCATATCACTCAGTTCGTATCACCCTTCCCTGGATAATAGGGGTTACAACTGATAGCATTACAACCGTTTTTGTCAAAAACCATTTAGTCACAATCGCCATTTCGCCGACCTCTTGCAAGTCTTTATGCTAAATCTCATTTTCCACACCTTCCTCTTGTTTGTAAATATTTTCAGACCAAGGATCAAGCTAGAATGGATCTTACTTACTTACTTACTGCCGTGGCTCCACAAATCTAGTTGATTCTTCGCCGCGTGTACCAGCCTCTTCCACCCTTCTCTGTCTTCTGCCAAGTTGACACTTGCACCCATTGTCCTGATGTCGTTCAATACTTGGTCAGTCCATCTCAATTTCGGCCTTCCCAATGGACATTTACCTCCAGGTGTGGCTCTCCAAACTTCATACAGTCTTGTTCCTTTCTCTCTTCTTAGCACATGCCCTATCCAACTTAACCTTCTTCCTTTCTACCTAGAATAGATCTAGGTAAGTGTATTCATCGACACATCGCCACACGCGAGTGAACGTATGAGAGCCTACGTGCGGCGCTTTCAACAACAGTCGATTGCGTCCGAATATTCTCTTCTGGTGTGAAAGGAATAGCAAAAGATTTCTATAAACTTTGTTAAAAACACCTTGAACCAAACTTATTATTACTTAAGTGGCAAAACAACCCGCTGGGTGAATAAATCCAAGATCATTATCTCAGCCCATTGTTGTTTTGTTTTTGGTAGTTTTCAAGTGTCTGACCATTACCTTCGGATTCCGGTTGTAAAACAAGCATACCCCCCACCATTTTAGGGAGGGGGCTACACCTACCAATTGAGGCTTCCACCCAATAGAACTTTAGGATTTTCCCTATAAAGATTTTTGCCAATCAGAATGCCATGTTTAGTTGTATTACTTACCAATTTTTTGTTTTGATCGCAAGGAGAAAGCAGAAGTATCTTGGATGGTATCCCAATAGCAGTCAAAGATAACTTCTGCACTGTCGGTGTACCAACAACATGTGGGTCTCGGATGTTGGTAGACTTTGTACCGCCCTACAACGCCACTGTGGTTGAAAGACTAGAGAATGCTGGTGCTGTAGTGATTGGGAAAACCAACCTTGACGAGTTCGCTATGGGGTGAGACACTCAAGCTGTAATATAAATTAGTGGTAGGAAGGGTAAGAACGGTAAATTGTTTTTCATCACTCTGGATACAAAAAAGCTCATTTCTGGTCCCACAGCTGAGCTCTTTATAGATCATTGTTTTCCAATCTATTAAAACATGAATCCTGTCCCGACATTACCTGACACAATCACACTTTTTTCTGTTGCAAACATACAACAAATTTCCATTTTGCTCAGAAGGAGCACTAATGTCATGCATTAGATTAACTATTTTACTATCTCTATTACAAGGTTATGGTACATTAATAGGCCTATCGTCCTTCAATAATAACAGCAGAATTTTTTTATAAATTGTAAAACCACACTATGTAAACTTTTTTATATCATTGCTATGACTATGAAATAATAATATTTGGCTGGTACGATTAATTGCATCCTAAAGAAATGTATCGTTCACTACTCGTTACAAAAGTCCCATCTGGAGGGTCGATAAACATTTTCTGTGCTCGACTTTACCTCGGTCGTAAACAACTCTTGTGATTTGATTTCGATTTTTAATATGTGGTACATCAGTTTAGCTGATCCTTTAAGAATAATTATCTATCATAGCTGGACCCATTTTTAGCGAATTCGTTTTCACCCTTATCACTAAATTATCACGGATTTTGAAGTAACGAAGTAACACAGGTTGCTAGTTGTTATTAATGGGGTAGCGGATTTTTATCCCCCTTGAATTTTACCCCCTGGGCAAACGTGACGTCACAAACCAACGACGTAAAATTCCGGCCGCGAACTTTTGAGTTTCGTGACATCAGTTCGATGGATTCAACGCAGACCCCCGGACTTTAACCCCCTTCATGAGGTCAGCTCAAAATGTACGGCCCGGATTTTTACCCCCAGAATTTTACCCCCTGGCCAGATACATAAATTTTTGAGGATAATTAATTCTCTTAATTCAGTTTTAATTTAATAGTCAAAATTTTATTGTTAAGTAGCCTATCTAAATTTATTTGTAACATCAACTAATCGAACAGGTTTTTAATTTTAATTTTGAGATTTGAGTATCAGGATTCGATCATTGAAGCCAACTGTTGGTTAATATGATCAAAATTAAACAGCGAATTCTGTTTTAGTTTACTTAGTTGGGATTACAAAACAAATAAATAAAGATCGGTTAATTATTAATGAAATGTTTACAATTAAATAAAAATAGAAATAATAAACTCAATCATTCTTAACAATTTCTATATCCAGTCAGGGGGTAAAATTCTGGGGGGTAAAAATCCGGGGGTAAAAATCCAGCCCGTACATCTTCAGTTGTCTAAACGCTAGTTATCTGGACAAGGGGGTAAAATTCCGGTTTTTATTGATAAGCTAATTAATCAAGCTCTGTCTATTTTGATTAGAGTTCCAAATCCGCGGGGGTAAAACTCCGCCCGCGAATAAACTTTTGAGTGCTCAGGTTACTACGTCATAGTGACGTCAGCTTTGTCCAAGGGATAAAATTCCGGCGACCCTTATTAATCACTATATTTTATTATTAGGCCTACTATTTTTATTGTTTGTAAATTCAATATCATTTAACAAATTGTTTCTGCAGGAATTCTATATGATTTTTGTTTGTCATATGTTAAAAATTTACTTTCTACTTTACAGTTCTGGTACGGTGGACTCAGTGCATGGTCCAACATTCAACGTGTGGGGATCGTCGCTACCATACACAGTGGGAGGCGTCAAGAGACATCCGTGTGATCAGCAGCCGAGGATCTCTGGAGGAAGCTCTGGTGGCAGCGCAGTGGCTGTGGCAACTGGAGCGTGCTTTGCGTAAGTCCGTATTCACTTTAACCATGACTTTGCAATGTTTATGCTTAGCGTACAATATCTGTTCATACAATATCAATTCAACTGTTAACAATTTAGCTTCATGGTGGGTTAGCCTCTGGATTGTAAATTGCAATATAAAATGGTTTATGTTACCTTTTGCGTCGGTGCGTGTTGTAGTTAGCATCAACAACAGCTGTTTCATGCCGCTGGGGCACATCTTCAGGTTGTCACAACACCCTTTGATGCCCAAACATAGATGTAGATAAGAAAATATTTTTTATTGTTGATAACTACACTCTTTGGTGGCTAACATATTAGAAAAATATAAGTTTTAACATTTTTGAGGTTTAATAAAAAAAAATAATCATGAGGAAAATAATACTCATTGGGCAGTAAAGGTCTTAAAATAAGCAAATTAAATTGACAAGAATTGTGTTTTTATTAAGATTTTATTTGTTATATCAAAATATAGAGTGATATTCATACCAAAAATTATATAGCAAATAATAATATAAATGCTTGCTAATGTTAATACAAAATTTTTAAATTGCAAAAGAACATTTTTTGTCCACAAGGGGATATACATTTTATAATATTTACTTCACATGTTCAGGTAAAAGTATGTAAAAAATACAACTATCCACACTGTCCAGATTGTTTACTAATCTAATCAAAAGAATATTATTTGTAATATTCTTAACCCTCCAAATCTTCTAATTCCTCGATATCAGACAAATCCCCTCGCAGCAATTCTTCTATTTCAGAGTGTGTATGGTATTGTTTATCCATATTCACGATCTAAAACATACCTAAATATAATACACTAAATTTAGTATGTTATAAAAATATAGGTTTTAATACAATATTATATTTTTTATATTGCTGGAAGTGAAAATATCAAAATATAAGACATCTTCATTAGACCTGAGCCGCAACTGCCCAATGAGTAAAATTTTACTCATGGGATTTTTACATCATAACATTTTTATAAACATTTATAACTCATGGTAAATTACATTAAACTAATATCTATGAAATATTTAACAAGGAACATATATTTTTATTTCAGTAAAAATGAAGGAAAAAAATTACCTAAAAAAATATCCAAAGTTGAGCTTCTGAAGAAAGCTGGCAGAACAGAGCATGGCACAAAACAAACAGACTTTTAGTTGAACCAGACAGTTGATCATGAATTCCAGTGCTGCCAATACCATTTGAAAACATCATAGGGTATAGTGAAGGAAGTTGAAATTCCCTACTTCATGACAAATTTCCCAGACTCCAGTACAAATGTCATGAGTAATAAGTTATCATTGGGCACGAAAGGGTTAAGTAAAAAGCGCTTTCATCCGTGCATGAATTTGTCAAGATATACAGGATGGAGCAGAGTGGACTCCCTGATTTGATCGGTTAACTGTATAAAAACCATACAAGATTATTACAAAAGCTTTTTATTTCTGAAATCTAAATACAATGCCATTTATTTTTCATTAAGTTTTAAAAATGATATCGTCCAGGTGAAGACCTTGACGAGCGATGCACATATTCAGCCGTTCAATGAAGTTTTCAAAAACTCTACGCAGCATATCTGGCGTTATTCCAGTGATAACATCAACAATTGCTTCCTTGAGGGCTTCCAAGGTCCTTGTCGAACTTTGTAAACCTCAGATTTGAGGTAACCCCAAAGAAAATAATCGCATGGGCTTAGATCGGGGGAGCGAGGAGGCCACGAAACATCCCCTCGTAAGATATCGAGTTCTTCAGTAACCTTATCTGGATCCATGTTGTAAAACTGGCACAGTTCTCGAATGCCACACCATCGGATTCTTTTATTAATCCAACATCTGTAGTTAGTTTCTTCTCTAGGCCCAAAATCCCCTCATGATAAAAGGTCGCCATTTGTGAAACTAAAGTTAAAGTTTGCTCCGGAAACCTCTTACATATTTGCCTTTGCAGAGTGTCGAGTATGAGAAAGTAGACTTCTATCTTGATTTTACGGAAAGGGTCCAATATTGGCTCATCAACTGCAACCTCATCCATCATTCTTTTTCGTGTTCTGCTTCTTTGGTTTGGCTGTGTTACATTTTGATCTTCGGAAAAAGTAGTGATTGATGATTTGACTTTTTCCCATTCTTCTTCACTCCTCAACTGCTTAAGTTTTTCTTGGGTTGCTCCAGACATAAAAACATGAAGTTCTTCAAGCAAAGAAAAAAGATTTCTTATCTGAGGACATACGTCCATTGATTTTTCCACAACCAGTGCAAACCTATGTGAACAGCACCAAATGTAAAAAGCTTTGGGGAAGTCTTTTTGTAATAAGGTTTTCACACCACTGTGCCTTCCCCTCATGTTACCAGCAGCGTCCATACTTTGTCCCACAATGCCATTTGGATCAAGTCCAACAGACTTCAAACTCTTCACAACTTTCCTGGCAAGATTTTCACCCTTAGTGTCTCCAGTTGTGAACACTTTTACGAGACGTTCAACAGGTTTTACGCTATTTTTCATGTTTCCATGACTATCTAGTTGTTCAACATGGCGAACTAAAAGTGTCGAACATTCTTTCTTGCTGACGTCTTGAGTGGAGTCTAAAATGATCGAATATACCTTTGTGGAGTTTATGTTTTTTACTATTTTGTTGACAACCATATCACTCATGATGTTAATCAAATCATGGATGTTACGATAGCTCAAAAAGTTTGACGCTAGTTTGGTTTTGCAGCCAGTTCTCGGTTTATTTATTTTCTCTAGATAGACTCTTGCATGAGGATTATGTTTGCTTATTAACTTAAACAAACTAATCAGTTTTCCTTCTAGAGCATTTCTTTTTCGGAATGCAAGCATTTCCTCACATAAAAATCTGCAACAGTCTATAATAACGGAAAAAACCTCACGGTTTTCTTGCAGGATTTGGTCTAGTTGTTTGACCAAACTAGAGTCTACCCTTTGTTTCGAAATCCATTGGATTTTTGCAATTTCTGCAGACATATGGTGGGGCGATTTTTCGTGTAGTAAAATGTCTCGGTCTCCTAAGTGATTAGTCCATCCTCGGTATCCTTCAGTCCCCCAAATAGACCTTTCGGCTGGCAGGGCAAAAAGGAGGCATGGCAAACAAAATATGGCATCTTTTTTTGCTATACACCAACCACTTTCTACAAATAACATTTTTGTTTGGGAGCTCAATATTTTTCCAGGTAGTTTTGAACTTCCGACCATATGTAGTAGGAAAATTAATTTGAAGTTAAATCTTAAGCTAACTTAAGAGCAATGTTTATATCTTCAGGCGAAAGTTTTTTGTTTGCAAAAGTTGCAGGGTCAGAGTTATCCTTGAAATTTAAATGTAATTGATGTACTTGGGCGCTTTGGGTGTTCGAGGATGAAATATCAGGATTGATACTTGAACTTGTGTCTGCTGTGGAACATATCTCGATCTCCATATTTTCATCAATGGATAAATCGTCCGCTCGAAAAGCACTTCTTGAGGATTCTGTACTTAGGCCTACAGCATAATCTTCTTCGTTACACTCTTGAACTTGGTGGACCTCAACATTTCCAGATGAACTAGGCCTGTAAAATGGAAAAAAATCTAGTACCGTAACTTAGAAGACGTATTATGCATAATGACTTTCGTTAATGATAATAACTAAAAACGATTACTATCATATTATTTATAAATAAAACATCAAATCAAAAAAATCTACAATAATATCAGCCTACCATTCTCTAAAACGCCAAAACGTTAAGTATGAATTTTTATAGGTGTTCATATAATCTATTCCAACCATTCTGTAAAATATTCTCTAGGTATATAAAATCAAGCTAAGAAAGATCACGAACTTTTGACAAAACCGTAAACCGCAGCCGCACAACCATCCGCATACTTGATTGTAAGGTCTTGATATGCACAAAAAAAATAAAAACAATTAAAATATAAAACAATAAATACAACCTTTGAACCTACCTACCTTTGTTCTGATAATTCAGTATGTTGAAGTAGTTGAAGTGGTACATCCTGATCTGCCCTAGTCTCGTTGTAAGGCGTCCAAGGTCCATTGCCTTCTTTTACTTCAATGATTTTGTACTTTATATTTATATTGTTTTTGAATTTGTAAGCATGCTTTTTCTTACAATGGTCAGACCACTTATCACTCCGATGGACTGTATTACACATTAGTTCCAGGCATTTGTACTTAAACATTTGTTTAAGTAAACGAGGCATTTTCCACTGTGGATATCATAAGACAAAATAACACAATAACTTCCTATTTGCCAGACATCTTGTTAATTATAATAATCCAAAAAAGAACAGCCCTACTGAGATGTTGACAAACTCTGATACCAGCGTAACCTAAATTTCGTACTGTTTACAGAGCAAATATTGTTGAGTTTTGTAAATTAGTTACTGTATTTGAATTATTATGCACTTTGGGAGTATGCACTAATTTGCTGTTTGCAGATGCTCAGATTCAGCACCAGATTCTGTAAAACATAAACATAACCTATAAGTCAAAGAATTTTAAAGACTAATAAACCTAACATTAATAAAATTACGACTTCTGCAATTATTGTGGTCTTATTTTGAACAAATTTGGCATGCATATGAAAACTGACAAATTCTGTGCATTGTCCTTTGCTTTGCTTTTTGCTACACAGCACAATGCACAAAGTTAAAAGTACAAGCTTAGACAAAAAGGCTTTTTGTCTATGGTACAAGTAACAAGTAAGTAACAACAACAACAAGTAAAAGTCTGGCAAGTAGAATATTATTGACACTTACAGTTACAGCGCCAAGCGCGGGTATCGTCTGTCACTGATCACTTTATAAAGCACTGGTTAAGGTTAAGCCTACTAATTTAAAAACACAGTATCTATTTACACTCACACTGTAACTCTTTGTTCACTCTCACTCTAAAAACGAATTAAGTAACTAGAACTATACATAAAACTTAACAACTGGAATAAATACTAAGAAGAACAAGTACATAGTTTTGAGCGTTTTG